CCTTCAACTTTTGTCAATTTTCCTTTTTTGATTGTCTCATTAACTTTGTCACTTTCCCTTTTAAGTAAAGAATTTGTGATTCCAGTTAATTCTCTCTCATTTCCACAAGCCTCAACCACACAGTATTTAGTTTATTAATTTTTGTACCAGTCAAACTTAATCAAGTTTTAAGAGACAAAGGGAGTATAAGATTATCATTGTCACTTATACACACTATTAAATTTGTCATCAATTTAAATAACTTAAAATGTTTGAAGTAATATATGCTACAATTTGAGTCTAGCCAAAACTAGTCAATTGCTTCTTCATCATTAATCATGAGATATGTACAAACACTTTAGATTCAAAATGACAAGCTCAGTCACTTAATTTTGAAAATAACATGTGTACTAATAACGTCAATAAGAATCGCACCTTCCATATTCATCTACCGTCACCCCTCCATTTCTCAAATTGGATCATCTATCAAAAGTGCTCTCCGTTCTTAAAGGGGGGCAGGAGAGTAGGAAACTGCACCAGCAGAAGAAAAACCAGATAATGATTCCAGCTCGGTTAATATGAGGGCGAATGATTGATTCAGGAAGTATCCTCCTTTCATGCCAAACCTTCAACATCTATTTTTTATAAACAAGATAACAAATCATCAGGTCTATTTCCAATCGAATTCAGAAAAATTGCAAGATGAATCATCATCATCATTACCCCATTGCATCAAAGGCTCCCACCTACGATGGGATAAGAGAAAAATTGCAAGATGAATAAAGCTCATAAAACCATTACTTTTAACTTTCAAGCGCACATTGCATCTGGTATTCTACCAAATAACTTCCAGGACAAGTTGTTGCTAACATATGTGGCAATACTGTTTGGAGAGCTCAAGGGTATATTGCACCAATATCACCTGAATTTTATAAAATCTCAAAACATAAAATCTCAAAAATTATATATTACTACCTCCGTCCCACTAATATTGCGACGGAAGGGGGTGACACGGACACGGTTATTAAGAAAAGTAGGTTTTGTGTGGTTGATATTAGTTGATAAAGTAGGAATAAAGTAAGAATGATTTAGAGCCACACAATTGACACAAACCTTATCAAATTTGATATGACACAATTTTAGTAGGATTTCCGAAAAGGTAAAATGAGACAATATTAGCGGAACGGAGGGAGTAGTTTAAAATTGTCTAAAATGGTTTAACATTATAAAAGAGATATAGAATAAAATATACTGTAGCATTAGAGAATTACACACTAAATAGGGAGGGTCAATCAAACCATAAGTCCTTCGGAAAGTATCAACACATGGGTGGCTATGAAAAAATGCTTCCTTGAAAGGTACTATCCCGCATCCATCTCGTCATCTCTCAAGAAGCAAATAAGCAACATTGAACAAAAGGATGATGAATCCTTGTATGAATTTTGGGAACGATTTAAGAAGCTATGTGCTAGCTGCCCCTATCATGGATACACAGAACAAGACCTCAAACATGGTTACCATGCAACAAAACATGGGACAATTCCTACATGAGACAATGTCAAGCATCAAAAATTTGGAAACTCAAGTTAGCCAAATTTCCAATGTCGTGAGCCGACTTGACGCAAAGGACTCGGGTAAACTCTCATCTCAAAACCCGAGACAACATGTGAATGCAATCATGTTGAGAAGTGGGACGACATCGAAGGAGGTAGAGAGAGATGATCAAAATGTTGAGGAGGTTGATCATGAAGAGGAAGCTCAATCAGAGGAGGGGATCACAAAGGCAAAACTCCTTCCACTTTCATCGTGTGAACCAGTAGCCACGTTCCCTGAGGCGCTGAGGGAAACAAAGAAGTCAAGGAGAGATGCAGATATCTATGAGACCTTCGCCAAGTGTGAGGTAAATATTCCACTCCTTAACTTAGTTAAAAGTGTCCCTTGATTCGCTAAATTTTTAAAAGAATTATGCAAAATCAAGAGGACACAACACTTAAAGGGAAAACAAAAAATTGAAATTAGTGAACATGTTTCGGCAGTTTTTTAAAGGAAACTCCCACAAAATGTACTGACCCGGGCATGTTCACCGTGCAATCTAGGAGACACCATTTCAAGGCCATGTTAGACTTAGGGGCATCAATTAACGTGATCCCCTATACTCTTTATAATTCTTTGAACCTTGGCCCTTTAAATAAAACCGGTGTCATAATTCAACTGGCCGATAGATCAACTGTTCTCCCAAAAGGGCTAGTGGAAGATGTACTAGTTTCGGTAAGTGATCTAGTGTTTCCAGCCGATTTTTACGTACTTGAAATGGAGAGTGATGGACACGAAGTCCCTATTTTATTATGGAGACCATTTTTAAAAACTGCTAATTCAACAATTGATGTTTCTAGCGGACTTTTAACTATGGAATTTGATGGAAGGAAAATAGAATATAGCATTTATAATTCTATTAAAAGTTACTCTCCATTTAAAGAATCAATCTTGATCGTTGAAGAATCACTAGATAAACCACCATTAATCAAACATCCATATCATGAGTTGAAACCACCGGCAGTTGAGGTGGGTAACAAGAAAGAAAGAGTGGCATTACTGCAAAAGGTCAAAAAATTAAAATTGAAACATGGCCAAACAAGGCCTTGAAGAAGGAAAAAAGGGATGTTCATGATCCCACTTAATCCAGAAATTAAAATAAAATAACGTTGTGTCACGAAATTAAATAAGACGCTTCTTGGGAGGCAACCCAAAGTTTTGTGAACATTTTGTTTATTTAATTTGCATTTTTTTTATGCAGAGTGTGGTGAGTGAGGGGACTAACGTTAAAAAATAAACCCGATCGGGTACCTTTATAACCCAGTCGGATATGATTAAAAAGAGTGAAACAGAGGCTACGGCGGAAAACACCCGATCGGGTGTCACCAATACTCGATCGGTTACTTCGTTAAAAAAAAACTTCTAAATCCGAAGGCCGAACACAGAGCACCAGAACAACTCCCATACTCGACCCCCTCTCACCAAAACTCTCCAAAAACACTCCTTTTTCACCTATATTCATCTTTAATCTTCCAACCCACCATCCAACTCCATCCAAATCACCCTAAACCTCATAACCATATCTTTTTTTTTTCAAATCAACCCAAATCCTCCACCAATCCCCACACACAAAAAAAATCATAATCTTGTTCCCATCTTCTTCATCTTACCCCACTTTCCTCTTACTCCACATGCATACACTCTCATCCATAAACTCTTGACAAATACTCACCCCTCTCCCAAACCACAACCTTATATCTTAAAAAATGATGGCAAAACGAGCACTAGGGACAATGCTTCGAGCCAAGTGAGGAGGAGTCACTCATGGGTACATACTTAATTTTTCTACCTTGTAACTTGCATTATTTTCTTCACACAAAAAAAAGAGAAGCTATGATGAAAACCTGAAAAAGGCTCCTAGGCAAAATGAGAGATATGAGAGATATATTTGTTTTTGTAGGACATCATTTAATCTCTTGAGGGAAAAGAAGAAGAATAGAGGAGGAAAAAAAAGATGAGCATAGAAACCCAAGAAGATGCTATCTTTTATTGAGCTAAAAACTCAATGCATAAAAAAAATAAAAAAATTATGTTTTATCTTTGGTGGTCTTTTGCTCTTTCTTGTTGACTATTGGGCTATTGAGGACTTGGAACTTGTCAACTTCTAACTTTACTCGAGGACGAGTGAAGAACTAAGTGTGGGGGAGTTTGATGATGTGAATTTCCTATTATGTATGTTTGTATTTTTAACTAGTTTTTATCACTTCTAGTTGTGGAAATTACACACTTTTGGTGTAATACTTTATTTTCATAATTATTTGTAATATGTTTAAATTAGGACTATTTTGAGCTAAACGAGTCAAAGATCATCCAAGGGATCAAGATTGGACCTTAAAAGATCAAGGAAAGTGCAATGAAGCAAGAAAGATTTCGATTTGGAAAAATTACTCATGTGCCCGATCACGTATAGGCAATACCCGATCAGATATTTGCTTGATTCGATTGTCCAAATCAAATCCGAGAACAAATGATCGTGGGAGCAAATATTTGGTGAAGATTTGTCACATACCCGATCGGGTATGTTGACATACCCGACCAGGTATGCCCAGAAAAGTGACTTTCTGGGAAATTTTCTAAGATACTCGATGACTATTTTTGAATGAATGGAGTAAATTTTATAAATTTTAACAATTTTGAATCAATTATTAAATGGAGTTAAAAGTATTGTTCCAACATGGGATTGAGTTTTACATGTTTATATACTGATATCTCTCATATCTTTTGCCCTGTTGGGTCAATCTTCTACCAAAAATAATACATAATCTGAATTTGGAGTTTTATTTTTGTGAATCATGATTTTGTTTTGGTGAATCCTAGCTTTTTTATGCATTTGGTTCAATATGATGCTATATACATCATATGTGGTGATTACAAAATACTATATGTGATATTATCTAAGTAATGCACTTCACCCGAGTCAGGCGAGCTTTAATTTCGCCCTGCGCCTCAGGCGCTAGAAGGCCCCTAGCGCTTCAATTGCGCCTTTCGACTACCTTGGTTCAGACACATGCTTGATGTGTCTCTTCTGGTATTAAACTGTCAGCAAGTATTTTACACTTTTGATTAATCTCCGACCATACAATCGCAGTTTGAAACTTCATACATTGTTTGATCAATGGGTCACATCGAATTTAGGCTAAACAGCTAAATAAAGTTGTGTTTGAAACCTTACTGTAGTAACTTAGTGCTTGTATTGATCTAATATATTCTACCTACAATGTTAGTTTCTTTGGTAAGTTAGATCAACAACGACTCGTTGGTTTAGTTATTATCTCATCAAATTTGTCTGGATTAATCGTTTAGGTCAAGTTCAGAGTTTAGACACATGCTTGACATATCTCTTCCGGTCTTAAACTGTCAGCAAGTATTTTACACTTTTGACTAATCCTCGACCATACAATTGCAGCTTAAAATCTCATAAGGTGTTTATTTGATCAATGTGATGCATCAATTTCGAGATAAAAAGCTAAACGAAGTTGTGCTTTAAACCGTACAGTAGTAACTCAGTGATTTCGGAAGCTGTGGAACAAAGCTCATAATACACACGCTAAAATTGGGGAAAAATCCAAAATTTTCTATATTCTGATACAAATGCAATATATCAACAAAGACTAGTTTGAATATACCAAAGTTGTGTAGTATTAATCACCTCATTATCTTTGATGTCTTCAAACTCTTCTGTATTCCAACTATGGGATGTTTGTGAACAAGCCCAAGTATTTCCTGATCCCTCACTTTCAATCTTGGATCATTTCTTTCATCGTCATTTTCTAGAGTCGTGTAGTCAGGAATGCATATACGTCGGTTGCCCTTTAATTCTTTTGGAGGACTTTTGTTTCTTTTCCCGGTGAATTCATATTCTGACATCGGAGCAATTCCTTCATGCTTAGTGTGATTAAACGTTCTCCCTGTATCTGCAATCGAGCCGTTATCCCTCTGCTTACATTCATCTATAAGAGATTGGGGGAGAGACTTACTTTATCACCCCCCCCCCCCCCCCCTCCTTAACCCTTATATTTTCATAGGCTCCTACATAGGCTGCGGTTTGAATAGCCCAACAACATTCATTATCGTCTTGATTAAGTACCCAGGTCTCTAGAACATCCATGGTACTCCAATCCCAATGTTTTAGAAAGACATCTGCTGCCTTGTTACTTGATGAAGACATGTTACAGTCAAAGTGTGTACAGTAAACTAATTTGAAATTTAAAAATTCATATACCTTGTTCTGATACAATTGTGAAGTACTAAATTAGTAAGGGAGTAAATAACACTTATAAATAGTTTTTGGGCTATGGAACATGCCCTAATTACAACATAGATTAAAGAGCTTCGGTCTTATATTAGCACATATATTGTTGTTTTTCAGTAGCTAGTTATTTATTTTATTTTCAAAAAATGTGATTTTAAAGAGTTGTAACTTCAGTTTAGTGAAAGTATTAGGGGGTGTTTGGTTAACAACCTATCGGCCATTTTTTGGCTGATTTGACCAATCTTTGGCTTTTTCACCAAATTAAACTGCTAATATAGTGTTTGGTTAAATGGCTTTTTCATTTGGCTTTTGTCCCAAACAGCAAAAATGTGAAATGTTATGGAACCTAGCGTTTAGGAACGGTTGTTTCTAGTTTTTTCTGATTTTCCTTTACTGTCCAGGCCATCTTTTCCATATCTTGTTAGAATTGCACACCGGAAATGTTTGAATCAACAAAGTGCTTATTAAGATGTGGGCTACTCTTCCTATCAGGTTGACCTTTTAGGACGGAACCTTGTGTTTTAACATGGTATCAGAGCCAAATTGATCCATGTTGTGGGCCCCCTAATGAAAAATGGCGACACGATTATGAAAAAATGACAATGACGAACCGACGAAAAAAATTGAATGATGGCACGATGCAGATATAGTGTATGATCGTGAGGAAGAGTGTTAGAATCCCACACCGAAAATGTTTGAATCAATAAAGTGCTATATTAAGATGTGTGCTACTCATCTTATCAGGTTGACCTTTTAGTAGGAATCTTGATCTTAACATATCTATCTCCCCGCACACAAAAACCATTCAACGGTCTAATTAATGATCCGTCAAAGAGAAAAATAGCAAAAGTCAAAAAAAGGAGTAAGGTTCTTTCTATTGAAAGGGTTTAGGACGGTTTGTGTATTTACCAACATATACGGAGTACTGGGTATATTTTTATGTTATAATAATAACCACAACAATAATATATATACAATTGGAGAAAGGCCAGGACAGGTTGTCACTTGAAGGATGTAAAATAAATTTTACACTTAAAAAAAACGGTTTAGGCAATTGCATTAATTACATGAATTAAAAAATTATTAATGTCTAATTTACAAGTTATCAGCTGATTGTAAACAACCATTTAACCAAACATCATTTTAAAAACTACTAATCTTATCGGCTAATCAAAACAATCAACCAAATTCGTTGTTACCAATCAACCAACAGCCAAAAACCATTTGCCAAACACCCCCTTAGACTATTTTCCAATAGAAAGTACTACGTAATGGAATGAATTTCATATTTAAAAGAATGTGTTTGTTCTTTTAGGGATTTCTTCTTGAATTTCATATTTAACAAGAGTCGAATAAAATTTAGACATTCATATATGATGTGATCGATTGAAACTTACAATCATCACTTGGAAGCTATATTAAATTGAATGAAATGAAGGAAACGTGAAGTTTGGAAACCTCATAGGGTTCTTTCTTGCTGTTGTGGCTTTTCTAAAAGAAAAGCGTGAAAAATACTATTGCAGTCTTCTTGATTGCTGCTTGTTTGTTGTTCGGACTGCTTGTAAAATGAATCAAAAGATGAAGAAAAAACCCCACTGCGGCTGCTACAGATTTTCTTTTCTTTTTTCTGGAAGAACCAGCAGCCGTAGTTGGGTTTTTTCTGCTGGTTCTTTTGGAAGAAAGAAAAGAAAATCTGCAACAGCCGCAGTCCGATTTTTTCTTCATCTTTTGATTCATTTTACAAGCAATCCGAACAGCAAACAAGCAGCAATCAAGAAGAGACTGTAATAGGTTTTCTTCACGCTTTTCTTTTAGAACAGCCACAACAGCAAGAAAGAACCCTATGAGGTTTCCAAACTTCACTTTTCCTCCATTTCTTTCAAATAATTTAGATTACAAGTGATGATTGTAAGTTTCAATTGATCACCTCATATATGAATGTCTAAATTTTATTCACCTCTTGTTAAATATGAGATTCAAGAAGATATCACAAAAAGAATAAACACATTCTTTTAAATATGAAATTCAAATCATTACGTAGTACTTTCTATTGGAAAATAGTCTAATAATTTCACTAAAGTGAAGTTACAACTCTTTAAATTCAAATTTTCTGAAAATAAAATAAATGACTAGCTACTGAAAAAGAACAACATTAAATGTGCTAACATAAGACCGAATCTCTAAAATCTATGTTGTAATTAGGGCATGTTCCATAGCCCAAAAACTATTTATAAGTGTTATTTATTCCCTTACTAATTTAGTACTTCACAGATGTATCGGAACAAGTTTTATGAATTTTAAATTTCAAATTAGTTTATTGTGCACACTTTGATTATAGTACGTCTTCATCAAGTAACAAGGCGGCGAATGTCTTTCCAGAGCATTGGGATTGAAGCACCATGGATGTTCTAGAGACCCGGGTACTTGATCAAGATGATAATGAATGTTGTCAGGCTATTCAAACCGCAGCCTGTGTAGAAGCCTTTGAAATTATAAAGGTTTAGGAGAGGGGGGATGGTGATAAAGTAAGTCTCTCCCCCAATCTCTTATAAATGAATGTAAGCAGAGGGATAACGGCTCGATAGCAGAGACATGGAGGGCGTTTAATCACGTTAAACATGAAGGAATTGCCCTGATGTCAGAATATGAATTCACCAGGAAAAGAAACAAAAGTCCTGCAAAAGAATTAAAGGATCTCGTATTGCCTAGTTGTCAAGTAGCCATAAGCAATACTTGAATATAATCTGTTTAAAAATATAGCATATGAATTACTAATTGATTATATTAAATTATTAATAAAGTGTTGGAAAAATGTGTGAAAAAATTGCATTAAATGGCTATTTTGGGGAAATTTTTTGAGTGGGGTCCACTTCCGATTTGGGTCGGGTTAAAGTGGTTTCGGATTGTCCTTACTTAGGGCTACAATTCGATATATGGTACGCTCAAAACGGATAACGGGTGAATGAGAAATCGCTTTTCAAAGTTGACCCGTTAGAATGGAAAAACTGGGAAAAAGGATGGGTTTCTAGTGTGTTAATTTCCCACACCGGAAAACCCAAGGGATTTGCAACCCTTTATAAAGGGACTCACCCCTTATGGAGTTAAGATTCTTAAGGGTAAAGGCTCTGTCCACGCGCGCAGGGGGGGGGTGCAAATCAAATCCCGAATTCGGAGAAGATAAACCGCGACTTGCGTGCGCGGGCGACCTGCGGACACGAATGTCGTCCAAAAATCGTATTAATTTTTGTTTTCTTCCCGAAACGTTTAATTTTTTCCCAGCGGCAGAAGTGCTCGGACAGAAGCCTACGGATCAGAACACCTCGTTGGAGTTCTGATGGCAGCCCATCAGAGATGGGGTATTCTGATGGCCGCCCATCAGAGTTGGGGGTACTCTGATGGCCGCGGATCAGAGTTGGGGTCTTCTGATTGGCCTCCGATCAGAACCCCTCCCGGGGAGTTCTGATGGAGGTCTTCTGTCGCACTTCTGAAACGTTCCAACAATTAATGCCCAACGTTCTTATCTTTTAATGCAGCGTTAAATGGACAGTTCATGGACGATTCAATGCCCAACGGACTGGTCATTGATGTCCAACGTTCAGGTCCATTAATTCACCATTTACACACAACAAATCCTCCTATATAAAGGCTGGCATGTGGTTTGCAACAACACACGATTTTACACGAATCCATACACGTTTTAGCTCTAAAAACACACTGCTAGCATTCCGAAAAATTCCCCTGTGTTCATACTGTGTTCTCGTTCGCTGGAACTCTTGTTTGTGTGCTCAAACATTAGTTCGTAGTCATCGTATCCTGGGAAACGATTGTTGCAACGCTCCTAGCACCGTGGGAGGCAACAAATACGTTTTAAGGACATCGTGCGTAGCACGAGCTTTGACTAATTCTGCTTCATCTCCTTTCTTGTTTTTCTCTAGTCATTTTATTTAATTAATTTATTTTAATTAATTTTTCTTTATTTTCCGAAACACACCCAACATAAAGAATAGGAGTTTACAGTAAGCCTGGGATCACTTCAGTTCTAGTCAAAATTTGATAGAACCGTCTCATAAAAGGTAGTTGTTAAATTTGGTTTGGTTCTAGTAAATAATGTACTACGTAATTGTTAAATTCGGTTTAAATATGAATTACTACTTGATTATTTTGTAAATCGACCGTTCAAGTGTAGGGTTTGCTCGAAGAAGAATGTTGCTTACTATTGAATTGAATCAAAGGAAGAAATTGCAATAAAGAATAAAGAAATACTAGAAATGTATTACTGTTTAATTATGTACTACATGATTATAATAATAGAGAATAGGAGATTAAATAAATTAAACTACAAACTTTTGGCAAACGGTAGTTATGACGTGAACCAATGACTTCCATCTCACGAGGCAAAAGATTAATTCATAAAGGATAAAAGTAACTACAGAGATAGATAAAAAAAAATTAAGGGGAGGGGTTGGCGAAATCAAATTGCAAAAAAATCAAAGTCTGCCTGGACACTTGGACAGCAAGTGATGCCAATCAATTAGCCAACTGCGAGATTGGTACGGCGCGGCGTTCACCAACTTGGCCGTGTGCGCAAAAACTTAATTTTTTTAGGGTAAACTTAAATATAATCAGGAGCAGAGAGGACACCGGGCGGACAGGTATAAAGAATTTTTTTGGAAAAATTTTTACAACGGTTTTTTTACCAAAAAAAAGATACATACAATTTTTATATTTGGGCGGGACCAGATCAGGGTTGGCCCCCCTGCTACGTCCCTGAATATAATAATAGCAATATACACAGAGTATCATAAATTAAATTAAATTAAATTATGAATATAATAATAGCAATATACACAGAGTATCATAAATTAAATTAAATTAAATTATGCACTTTTTGGAGCGGGGGCATTAAGCTCTATCGTTTGAAAACGATAGTGGAGTGCGAAAAGGATAAATGAATGTTAGCGAAACAGAATTTTCCCAATAAAAAGGAACTTTTTGAGACAGAGGAAACATATTTTTTGAGACATGCTAAGGCAAACAATATATTTTGAATTTAGAATTAAAACAAAATCCCTTAGAAAGAAACGATGTAAAAGTTTGAAAATACTCCGAATGAAACAGCGCAGAAGTGATGTACTTTCAGGTAAAATGGTTTTTAGATATTTTAGGTTAGTTCGATTGTTTTATTCTCAACTTTTTTCTAGTAGAAGTTCATAAAATCAGCAAGAGCAAAAAATTTGAAAAAACATAAAGGCATTAAAACAGCCATGGAAAAAAAGAATATGTAGGAACAAGAATTGTGGAACTAAACAAAAAACAGTTTATTGGCAAAATATAATTGAGAATTGGGGGCTTGTGGACAACCTTATAAAGAGCGAAGAGATCCACTTGGAACTTGAAGAACATGGGCCGGCCGTAAGCACGCTGAAGAGTTCCCAAAACTCCCATACGAAGTTATTGTCGGTGGGAAATTGGGGATCAATGGTCAAGATCCACCCAGCTGAAAAAAAAAGTGAAGGGAGGAGTGTTGAAAGGGTGGAGGCGATAATGATATACATACTAGGGTGTTCGTAGACTTTAAGGGAAAATGGAAACTAATAATCCAACCTTTTAGCGATTTTCTTTCAATAATCCCACCTTTTGATTATTAATGAATAATCCAACCTTTGCACCTCATCTTCATTCATTGGTCCCTGGTCGATTAATGACCTACTATTCCAAGTTATTTTCTTATCTTTGCAAAATATTATCTTTGTGAAAGATGCGATTTATGGTATAATGATTTGCAAAGATAAGAAAATAGCTTGGAATATCAGGTCATCAACCGGTCAGAGACCAGTGAATGAAGATGAAGTGCAAAGGTTGGATTATTCATGAATAACCAAAAGGTTGTGATGGACAGTCTACCCGGGGGTATCTTATCCGAGGGGTTATTGTGGGAATAACTAGAGAGAAGCCAGAGCAAACTAGGAGGAGAGAGAGTCGATTTTATTAAATGAACTCGAGATGTGGAGTTGGGATGTAGATCATGTCCATTACAAGGAGAAATGGGCCGCTATTTATAGCAGCAATAAATGCGATGAGGGGACACGTGTCAATAATCCAACGGCCGAAGGGTCACATCAACCGGTTGGCACCGGCAGTGGTACGTTTACCGCATTGAATGCGGCTGGTGGATGTGACGTGGCATTAAATGCGGTGGTTGGCTGTCTCCAAAAGGAATCTTCGACGATTGAGCCAGTTCGGCCGAAGGCTCCTGGTGTAGCCGAGGGCTCCCTGTGTATCCGAGGGCTCCTTGTGTAGCCGAGGGCATGAAAATGCCGAAGGCTCATGTTTTTTGCCGTTTTCTCTCAGTAGCTTTTTATGCCAGAGAAGGCTATTCTGTGATTTTTGGAGCCTTCGGCCAAGGAGGCCGAAGGCACCCCAGCGTGTATTCTGGGCTACTTTGAGGCTTGGGCCGTTGTATTTGGGCCTGAGTTGTTCCCTGAGCCCAACGGACTTGTGTAGGAGAAGTAGGAGTCTATGGGCCGGGGGTTCCTGGACCATATACTCCATCAGGAGTCCCTCACTCCTTTTGCCGAAAGGTACTTGAGGGAAAAGGAGTAGATGTGTTGATTCTTCCGGAGGCTCCATCGTTTAGTTGGGCGCCTTTGCTCGAGAACTTGCTTTCTGCTGATTGCCGAAGGCTCCCCTCAGTCCCTCACATGTCGAGGGTTTTCTGAGGGAAGGTATTCATAACCTTCGCTCGTTCGCCGGGGGCTACCCTCAGTCCCTCACATGTCAAGGGTTTTCTGAGGGCAGTTTAACACCTGTATGGTCGCAGAAGGCTTTCCTCAGTCCCCCACATGTCGAGGGTTTTCTGAAGGAAGTATAACACTTGTATGAACGCCGGAGCCTCTCCTCAGTCCCCCACATGTCGGGGGTTTTCTGAGGGAGGCGTAAATAATATCCGTATGTGTTGTGATGAGGGCTGCTTCATTTCCGCAAGCGGCTCGTGGAAACCTTTTGATACTCGGCCACTGCCGAAGGGTATGTTGAGGCATATACCCGAGGGGTTGTACTGTGATGTTTGCCCGGAGGCCGTATGCGCCAATTGTAAATAGTTGCATGAAGAAATTTTTGTTGTGTATGATCCCCGAGGGGTGTATCCCAGTCCCCCACTCCTTCAGGCCGAAGGCGAGTTCGGGCTGAAGGAGTTATGATGAGTTGATGAGCCCCCGAGGGGTGGCAACATTGATAAGCCGAAGGCTTATGCTGCTACGGCTCGAAGGCGTTTGGTGGAATTCGTTGTCCGAAGGATGTGGCGGGTGATAGCCGGAGGCTATCCTTCGAGGGCACCCCCGTGTTGCCGAAATATAGCCGTTGCAATATGGCCGTTGGAAGAGGGGTTGACGTGGAGTGTCCTTATTGGCTGGGGGGGAGCGGCGGTCCTCCATTGGTCGAATCGGCGGCCTGTAATGATGGGCTTTCGAGTTGAGGCCCAGTTCTCGAGGCCCATCTGCCTATAAATACCCTGAGTTTGAGCTCATTTGTTCTTGCGCGAACTTTAGAGAGATAGCGGAGCTCTGCCATTTTTTCTAGAGAGAGAAACTTCAGCCTTCGACCAAACGCAATTTTTGAGGTCAGTTCTTCCTCCTTTCCCATACACTTGGCGTATTTCGCTTCACTGGCCTTAGATCTAGTGTTAGGGAATACTTAGGAGCCTTCGGTTAGTTCTCTTACATTGTTCCCTTTCCCTGCTGTCGATAAGATGTCTTCTGCCAGCGACTCCCAGGATATTTCCGTGGAGGCCCCGGTCCAATCGGAGAGTTATTCGGAGGTTGAGTCCTCAAGTGACCAATCGTCGGTTAACAATGACGCTGCCATCGCCGAGGAAGTCCAAGACACCCTTCGGACTGAGTTGGAGGCGGAGGACTTCGAGCAGATGGAGGAAGACGAAGAGCTTGCCCTCGCACTCCAAGTCGCCGAGGAAGAGGAGGAGAAAGAGCGGCTGAAGGTGACCGTCGCCGCACTCCCCCTCCGTGGCGCCGGCGAAGCCAGTAGCTCCCGGCCCCTAGATCCGGAACCGATAAGCGTCGCTCCCGGGAAAAAGAAGAAGAAGACCCAGGCGGCCCCGAAAAAGAAGCAGGCTGCCATTGACGCGGGTCAGCCGGTGGGAATACCCGAGGGCCACTCGTATCTCAACACCGCCGCCCTCGAATTGAAAACGAAGGCCGGGGAGGCGGAGTATCTCAAAACTCAATTGTTGGTTGGCCCGTCGGCACAGGTAGTGGTTCCGGGGCCTGACGATGTGCTATTGCATCCTCCAGAGGGCTGTTACGCGGTGCACATCCTTTCGGTGGAGTTGGGTCTCCGATTCCCGCTCCACCCTTTTCTGGTGGAATACCTTCGGTTCGTGGGTCTCGCTCCTTGCCAGCTGACCCCGAATAGTCACTCGTATATCACAGGGTTTCTCTCGCAATGTCGAAGCCGAGGGGTCGTCCCCACATTGGATCAATTTTTCCTATCTTTCAACCTGTGTCGAGGGGGGGCTGCCAATAGCGAGGGCTTCGCCAACCTCCAACAATTGCCGGCATGGAGGCTTTTCTCGGAGGTGCCTTCGTCCCACAAGGGATGGAAGGACCGTTTCTGTTACCTCAGGATGCCGGGAGTGACCTTCCCGAGGCCCCTTCGCAACCATTTTCAGAGACACCCTAAGGTGGGCAATGCTGCCCTTGAAGGCAATGGGAAAAAGCTGAAGGCGAAGCCGCCTGGTTCAGAAAAGCTGACGACTATCAAGGCCGCCACGCTCCCGGAGGAGTTGCTCAAACTCGAATTTCAGCGGTATCGCTTGCCGGGGGAGAAGGATGAGAGATACCCCCTCCTTGACCGGGGCCCCCCGGGTGCTAGAGGTTGTTGCCGAGGGGCTCTGATTCTGGTACTTAATCATTTTTGTCTTTGGTTTGTTTCCTCTTTCTAACTCTCCTTTACCCCTTGCAGGTGGCATCATGGACCCGAAAGCCTTTGCTAAGCTTTCAAAGCAACTGGCCAAGGAGAAGAAGAAGGACGTGGGGCCCCCAACTCAAAGGGCTGCAGATGAATTCTTCAAGAAGCCGGAGGGGGCGAAGGACCGCGACGGTGAGGGGCCCTCGCAAGCTATTGCTGACGGAGGTTCCAAGGCCGCGGAGCTTAAAAGAAAAAATGCCGGGAAGGGCTTAAAGCCTCCGGAAAAGAAGAAGGCAAGGGGGGATGCCGGGGAGAAGGCTCCCCCGGTTGTAATCATCGATGACCTTCCCTCGGGTCCTCATTCAGCCTCCGCCCTCCCGGAGGAATTTGACGAGGGTGCCTGGCCCTTGGAGAATGTGCAGTTTCCCATTAAGAAGGGGACTGCCCTTATGCACGGCACCCTCGATCCGAGGGAGTTCCTGAGAGGTGCCACCCCCCCGCTCGATCACTCCACTCTTGGCAGGTTCGCGGATGAGTCCCTCGAGCTCAAGGCTCTCCAGGCTTCAGTCACTGTAAGTGCTTCATTCTTCTGAAATGTTTTGCCCTTGTGTCTTTTTCCTTTTGTATATTCTGACCTTGACCGCCCCTCTTCCCTGTCTTGCAGGCTAGCGTGGCCTTCGGGGAGCTTGTTAGGAGGGCGGAACAGCACCGCCTTGAGAAGGCAAAGTCCGACGAGGCCATGAAGAAACTCGTCGCCAACAATACCGAAGCCATCAGGCAATTGGCCGGCTTGGAAGAGGCCCTCCGGCAGGCTGACCAGAGACTGGAGGCCGCGAAGCAGGAGGCCCGGGCCGAGGGAAAAGCTCAAGCGGAGAAGGATGCTGCTGAGGCCGCCAAAGCCACCGCCGAAGCCGCCGAGTCCGCTAAGAAGGAGGCAGTAGCAGAGGCTGTCAAGGGGGCTGTTGACGCCTTCAAGGCTGGGGAATGGAGGGCTGAGGGCCACAAGGAGTGGATGGCGTCGGTGATCCCGGAAGTCGTCGAAGAGTGGGTAATAGGCCCCGGGGCTATGTGGCTAGCCCGGAAGGGTAAGTCGTTCTATGAGGGGGGCCAGTACTTCACCCAAGTAATGTTGTACCGGAGGCTGGCCCGGCACCACGGCCTTGACCCGAAAGATTTCAAACCTGAGTCCCACGGCCTTCCCCCGCTGGTTCCAGACATCCGGGTTCCTCTCCCCGAGGGCGAGGAGAGACAGCTGCTGGAGGATTCAGAGCTCGACGGGCTGGCCTCGGATGATGAGGAAGATGTTGGTGATGATGCCGCCTCGAAGGCTAAGGAGGATGTAGCATAAATTTTGTAATAGTTTATAGGGCCCGGCTTCGGCCATACTTTTGTAACGAAATTCACTTGAACAACTTTTCCTGTCGAAATGAATGGTTGCCTTCGGGCTTTTTATATGAATGAAGGCCTCATTTTTCTTCAAGTTTCGTTTGCCTTCGTTCTTTTCCTTTCTCGGCTGTAGTGTAGTATCACGAGCCCTCAGTTGTATGTTTGGGGTTGCCGGGGACTCGTCGCTGTGGACTTGAAAACTTTCTAAGTAAACTTGGCAATGAGCCATC